TCTTGCTTGGTGCTTCTTCAACTCTCTTTTCTTTGAAAAATCACGTCGGCGCTTACGGTTTTTTGGGTCAAATTTTGGGAGGTCTGTGTCAATGTCGCCGTCATTCTTTGAAACATCCGCACCCACTTCACTCGAATTTGATTCTTCCTCGTCATGAATATCGAAATCTGAGTCAGACTGTTGTTGATTCTTTGGTGTTTCAACAATTTTGGCCTCGACCCTGTTTCTTCGAACCCTCTTATTCTTCGTGTCTGGGGTCATCTTTTTCGCTTTTTGTTTCATTTGATGTTGTGAGACGAAATCGTCGTCGTCGTCCGACTCATCTTCGGCGGTCTTCTCTATTTTCTGAAATTGAAGTTTTTTTTGTATAATCTTTCGCTCGCGGGGTTGAAATTGGGATGTGCGACGAGATCGGGAGCGAGTTATCCTTGCTTCGTCTTCACTTTTGGAGGGTTTGCTCTCGATTTTGTTTTCCTTTGCCATTGTTATTCACAATTTCACCGACAAAATGTGGTACACTGCGGTATTGACACGACTCGTCGGAGAAACGTCCGGGGTTCTGGGTAACCTGACGACTTTGGGCGAGTGGTCGGAAAGACGTCCTTTTGATGCTGGAGGTTCGCCGGTGATATTTCGGTTCATGCGATGAGGTTTTTTTTTCAATTGAGATCTGAATGTTTTTTTTGGGGAGAGAGATGGTTGATAGTGTAGAGATTTACAGTTCTATTTTCTCGAGATTTGGAGAGAGTGATAGAGATTTTCAGCTCTTTTTTTTAGGAGGATGAGTGTAAATATGGAGAGTAGATCACTTTTTCCGAGAATCATGTGTAAGAGATAATAAAATATATAATTAATTGTATTTAACGGTTAATTAGGCCAATTTAACCGCACTAAATATCATTTTAATTATCCCCTAACGTAATTTTGATTAAAAAAAGTTTGGGTTCATATTTCTGTTATTATTTTATGTCTAGGGTGTAAATTGTGTAAATTTCTCAAAAATATCATCTGCAGGGTCCAAGCCCATAAAGCGATCCATTGTGATTGGGCTAAACCACGCGATCCATAGAAGTCTCACCCAATAAAACCCTGATCTCTCTCACACACATCCCACGCCTGATTTCGGCTTCTCTTTCGCGCTGCCTCCGCCCCAAATCAGCTCGCTTTCGCCGCAGCTGAGATCGCCTTATATGCACCCCCCCATTTAATTTATCGAATAATCATTTCCATTTATCCAAACAACAGTTGCTCGTTTCATCGGAGATGAAATCTCGTCGGAAAACGCAGAGATGAGTAAAGGAGGAGCTGCCGGCAGCGGTGGGGCAGAGTAAGGAGGGAAGAGGAATTCGTCGGCGTTCGCGATGGACTGCGCGAATCCGGTGGAGGATCTCTTCACTGGAGAAATTCCTGCAGGAGCGCATCAAGGTCGGCGACAAGCCGGTGACGATTGGGACTCTGTTACCGTCGTCAGGGACAAGACGAAGATCTCTGTAACCTCCAACGACGCCTCCTTCTCCAAGAGGTAACTCTTTTCTGATTTTTATTTTTATTTGTTTTTGTTGTATTTGTTTGCTTGCTGTTACTGTGCGGAAATGGCTATTTACTATTTAGGGCTGATTGTTTATGGATTCACTTAGTTTTTATTTGATTTGTTTTTAACTATAGTTAGTTTTGAAAAAAAGTGGTATGGTTAGTTGTTAGTGGATATATTAAAATAATATTTAAATTAAAATAATTAAAATTGATTTGATGTAAAAGTAAGAAAAAATGATTGGAAGTGATGGTTAGTTAAAATTATGTGAATGGATGAATAGTGAATTAAAGTTGATTTGATGTGTAAAAATGATTGGTGGATATTATTTAATTATATTAATAATATAGAAGATAATGAAGTTGAGTTAAATTTGAGTTTTGATTGATTTTTTTACTGTTCAAACCATAAACAACCACCCCCTTAGATTCTTACGACAAGAAATGGATTGATGAATTTGGAATTAGATCTGTGCCTGTGTGTATGTCTCTGTGTCTTTTTTATTTTTTCATAAAAAGTGCACAAGCATGATTAGCCAACAGGCAATCAACTCAATTGTATTCTCATGTGAAGGCATGGCAACAAAGTTCTATGACACCCATTACTGAACCATTCAATCGGGGTTTGCAACCGTTAGATCAACTACTTTCGACGGTTACATAATTATCTAACGGTTACGAACACGACGAAATAGTTCCGTAACGACCCCAGATAATAACAACACATTAGTAAAACCATTAAAACTGTGGTTTCATATTGGTTTTTGTGCGCTCACCACATTGTTTTAGTGAGCGAGCTTTTGTCAAGTTTCATTGTAATGCACCAGGATATTGCAATCAAACTTGTATAAATAACATTTTCAGTCTCGAATAGTTTTGATCTGGGCTTCCAATTTTTTTATGGAAGAGTTTGTTTTCTTAATGAGCATGTGTTATCATCTAAATATACTTGTTACTTTTGTTTGCAGGTACTCGAAATACTCGAGTAACTCGACAAAGAAATATCTGAAGAAGAACATTGTTCGTGACTGGCTCCAGGTTGATAGCATCTAATTCGTTTGCTACTTCAATGTCCCGTTACCCGACCAAAAAAAAAAAATAAAAAAATAAAGAACACTTATATCCCCCGAGAGAGAATGAGATGCATACAAAACACGCACTACTGAAAGTTCGGATTCACAACAAATGCTTAGATACAAACCTGAAAGTTACATTCATACCCTATATACAGAGCTAAAGGTACACAAGCCAGCAAAGAAAACTCATACAACAGAACCAAAAATAAACAGAAAATCCCGAACACAGACTAGCGACATTAAGTAGAAAAGACGATCATGTCCTCAAATCTCAAAGGTCGTACGGAGGAGGAGGACTTTTGGGGCCCACTCCATTAGCCCTCTCGTAAGCAAACGATGCTGACCTCCTACGGAACCGGAAAGCTTCTTTCCCTCCGGCACCTAGTTCGACATTATCCAACAACACATTTGATAGAAATCACAATCAATTTCCAAGGATCACTAAAATTCTTATTCTAAGGTGCTAAGCCTTGCTAAAAAGTTTGGTAATTCATACGTGGCGATTGAATATAAATAAAAACCGGTTTTTAATTGATTTGATTGGCTAAGGTCGATAATTTTGAACGAAATTGATTGAATGAGATTTGTAATTAAATAATAATTAAAATTAGTGATTGGAGTTTGTTTGTAATTAAATTAAATAATAATTAAAGGTAGTGATCGAAGTTGATTGAAAGAGATTTGTAGTTAAATAATAATTAAAATTGAATTTTGAATTGACAATTGCCCTACATGTTTGTGTATCTAAGGAAAGTTAGGCCAAAGGTGACATAATTATTTTTAAAAGCAGTTATTAACTGGATTTTTCCACATAAAATCCAATGCAGTCATCATCTTAGACCCCACCAATCACCCGGCCATAAGC